TGGTTTAGTTTTATTAAGTTAGGATAATCAGACATTCATATGACAGCTTGGTATCACGTGTGCCGAATCCCGTTGGGGCCCTGTGGCTTAGCTGATAGGACCCCAAACTTGTCATTCGGAAATGGCCTTGGAAGCATATTTTCGCCTCATCTTTAGTTAGAAAGGATTATATCAGTGACTGTCTTCCAATGCAAGTCCTTTTCATTTAATCTCATTATTATTATTATTGTTCCCTTGGGTTCCTAGTGGAACATAGGGCTTCAACTACACGTCTCCACTTGCTTCTGTCTTCTGCTGTACTTTTCACCTGCATCCATGTTAATCCATACTGTTTCAATTCCTCTTCACACGATCTCCTCCATGTCACCCTTCGACGTCCACTAAAATTAGGAATATCATTGGTGATAATAATAAGCACCCTTCTCTGACTTCTGTGTTTACTCCAAACGCCTCGCTGAGTTTTCCGTTGTGGATCACTTGACATGTGCCGTTGTCGTACAGCTGTTGAATAAAGTTGATGAATATTTAGGGTACGCCGCAGTACTTGAGTAGTTTCCAAATTACTTCGCGGTCAACGCTATCGAAGGCCTTCTCAAAGTCTATAAAGTTGAGGCAGAGGTTTGATTGCCATTCCATGCTTTGTTCTGTGATGATGATGCGTAGAGTTGCAATTTGGTCAGAACATGATTTGCCTTTCCTGAATCCAGCTTGTTCTGGTCGGAGTTCTGCATCAAGAGCGTCCTTTATTCTCTCAACAGGAACATGATTCCTCGCCAGTTCTTGCAGAGTCCTAAGTCGCCCTTCTTTCGTAGTGTCACAATATAACCTTTCCTGCAGTCAGTAAGCACCTTTCCCTCCTTCCAAACCTTTTGCAATAATGGAGTCAGCATATCTGCTGTTGTATCTGGCTCCGCTTTCAGTGCTTCGGGGGGTATTCCACCTGGTCCAGCTGCTTTTCCAGCTTTCAGAAGCTTGATTGCATTCAAGACTTCAGCTTTCGTTGGAGGATCGGTGTCAACTTGCAGTTGTGTACGTGCTGTTGTTGGAAAAAGTACAGCAGAAGACAGAAGCAAGTGGGGACTTGTAGTTGAAGCCCTATGTTCCACTAGGAACCCAAGGGATCAATAATAATAATATCGTGCTTTTTGTCTTCCGCAAGAATACTGAATGATGAAGCAACGATTTAGGCTACTAACAGGAGAAATGAAAGGTCTGCCATCATTTTGATAGGCAGCAATAAATCCAGTTGCCTAGTCCCAAGAAGGTTGCTTTAAATCTTTTGTACATTTTTTTCCATAAGTTTCTAACATCTAACAAACGACTGCTCTGAAGATGGTGTCTGGAAGGACAATGTAATCTTCACAATTAAAATTACCACACAAGTCAGAGACCATAAACACGCTTAAGGGATTTTTATCAACAACCTTCTGTCCGGTCGGTGGTAGAATGGTCTCCAACCAGTTACACGGGCTAGGGTTCGATTCTCGACTGACGCACTCACCTAGTTTGTCAGCCAATAGAGGAAAGGTTGTGCATGAGACTAGTGAATTCACCCTATTAAAAAGCAACATGGTAGTTAGTGGAACTTCTGAACTTAAAACTCGAATCTCTTTGTTCCCCATAGAATTCAAAGGAAAAGTAACGGGACGAAAATAGTTGGAGAGAACAACTGTGATTTCAAATATTGCGAGATGATATCATCATCATTTCGTAGTTTCTCTACAATGGCTTTACAACCAACATGGTTCACAATAATAAAATAAAAAATAAAATGCATGACAATTAAGGGTTAGAAATGTAAAAATAACAAGATACAGGATGTTTGGATAAGAAACTAATGTGATGAATAATTGTTTATGCAATCAGGGATTAAATATGTAGAAATAGTAAGATGACAAAATAAACAGGAAGTGTGGATATGAAAATATGGTAGTGTAGACAGGGATTAAGAAAACTTAAAATAACATGAATAAACAGGAAGTTTAGATAAGAAAGGCGATGGGATGGTCATTATTAAAAAAATTTTTTTACCTGTTTATGATGGCCATGGCAGGGACAGGGGTTGGACGTATTTCTTTTGGATACAAAGGGTGGGTTTGAGTTTTTGGATAGCTAACGCCTCAGCTATGCCCAAATGTCTTGATTTCACTCCCTTTGATAGGTCTGATTGAATCTTGTAAATTACTTTGAAGGACTTTTCGAAAGGCGCTGAATGTCCTGAGTTTTCTTAATCCCTGTCTACACTACCATATTTTCATATACACACTTCCTGTTTATTTTGTCATCTTACTATTTCTACATATTTAATCCCTGATTGCATAAACAATTATTCAGCACATTAGTTTCTTATCCAAACATCCTGTATTGTGTTATTTCTACATTCCTAACCTCCAATTGCACAATGTCAATCTTCTTAGTTATTATGCTACTTTGTTCGAGTTTTACCCATCCCCCTGTTTATTATGGCATTCTAATTCCTAATTGTAATTTTTATTAATTTAACCCCTAACCAGAAATAGTTCTGGAACTTTCGCATGACAATTACTCAGTTATATAAATAAAACAAAAGTACAGTACAGTACATACTAATGACTAATCCTATTTAAATACGTCAAGTAGTCCATAGTGGGCAAAATGTTTGTTTTCAAGGGCACGCAAAATACGTACGAGTGACACATTGATGGATGAGCTTCGACATGTACATTCAGTTTTATTAGCTAATGGTTATCCAGAAAACTTTATCAATTGTCAGAGTAAGGATATTAGATCGAAAAGAATAAGAAGTTCAGCAAAGATATCTGTCTTTTCGGCGATTTCATTCTCAAAAGCTGTACAATCGCATTTATATACATTAGTTTACATGGATACAACTATTATTTATTTATTTAATTCCACATAGTAACGAAGGAGATAATAATTTTCAACGTGGTATGAAAGTTTATAGGTACGAATATAGATTACAATGGGTTTAGAGACAAGATTGCATAGGATTAGAAAACAGTTACAACGTATGCAAAATTAATATTTGATAAATGGAGAAATTATGTTAAAGGTGAATGAAAAGGCACAGCTATTTTCAACTTGATATGAATTACGAGCAGAGGCTTAGAAACAAAAGTTACGCAGGGACAAAACGAATTACAGGTGTGAACAAACGAAATGAGCATGGAAACAAATTGAAATCAAAATTTTCAACTTGAAGTGTAAGTTAGAAGTTGTGAATGTAGATTAAAAGAGGCATAGAAACAAAATTTCACAGGATTAGAGCACAATTGTGTTTCTAAACGGACTACAAGTGTGATGTGTGGGTTGGGTGTAGACTGGGTGAACCACGATTCAGTAATCAATCTCTCTCTCCACCTACCTATATTACTCTTTAGAATTTGAACTCTGTCCCACCCTATTATGTACTTCAAACTGTATCTACAAGATCATCTGCAGTCGCGGTGACACTTATACAAGCAGAACCAATCGAATGTTCTAATGTAGTCGAAAAGAACATGTTCCAAAATGGCTACTAAATTATATAGAAAATCCCAAAGCAGTTAATAATCTGAATAGAAATCCATCATCATCAAGCATTGCAAAGTACTTATTAGTGTCAGGTCACAAAATCAATATTATTGACTGCTTTACAATTATTTCATCACATAACTCTAATTCAAGGTTGGTTATTGAGGATGATGGAAGCACTTTGAATTAATCACATACATCCTTATCTATGTGTACAAAAAACAATAGACTTCAACCTTCACCTACCATGAGCTGACTACTTGACCCATTTAAATATGAATGGTCATTAGTATTTACTTTTGTTTTATTTATATAACTGAGTAATTGTCATGCGTTTTATTTTATTTTATTATTGTGAACCATGTTAGTTGTGTAAAGTTGTTGCAAAGAAACTACGAAATGATGATATCATCTCGCGAAGTTTGTCTTCTATAGGCCTTATTCAAATTTATCAAAGGTTTTATTTGAAACAGTCTTGGGGGCTTCTTCATGTGGAATGCGATACCTTCAGCTATGTGTCAAAGATGAACTCATAAGGAAAAATTAAGATCAGTTGGGATATGGTACATAACTTTAACTGCCCTGGTAACATCGATTTGGTGTTTAACATCCACAAGATGAGGTAAAATACAGCTAAAAATATAGATCTGGTTTGTCCCATTGCTTAACTATGGAGAAGGATGTTCAGAAATCTCTTAATGAACATGCTTTATTATAAACCTAATGTAATTGATCCCAAAGAAGCGATCAAACTGATAGATATACACAGAAGAGGAGGTAGTTTATCCTTATTTCTTTAGTGGGAAATTCGTGCGGTATGGGAGAGATAGTGTTCGTCTGTCTAGCTGAATTCTCTCTTTACAGCATTCTTTAAGCATTGTGTTATTATTAATAAACTCGAGTTTTATGGACAGGGGCTTTATCAGAGACACTGGCATACTAGCTTGGTTTGACAGTATATTCACATAGTTGTAGAACAGTAACAGGAGAAGTCAAGATACTTGGTGACGAACTTTTTACATTGAGGAGCATCACACAATATTTATACAATTTTAGCCAATATTTATGGTTGGCTAGGTCAGTGGATAAGAAACTGTTCCGATTGGTTGTTTATTTTATGAAGGTTAAGCATCGAAATTATTTCCTGACCACAACATAAGCTAAATTCAGATTTGAGAAATAAACGTTTCTACTTCTGTAGCCACTGACTTAAAATGTTGTTTTAAATTGTAGCAACCTCGCATCAGTCTGCGTCTGTATACTGCTGGTAATTCTTGTCATTAGCACACGCTTCAGAACCAGATGAACAAGAAGCTATCGAAGTAAATATTCTTCGGTCAATCTTCTTTTTTGTCTTTTACATGTCTTGATAGTGACTGGCATATGCCAATCTCAAAATTAAGCTTAGCAGACAAGCAAGTACTCTCTTTTTTAAATTCCTCAATTTTTATGCTCATTTCATTTCATCTATTTCTCTCTCTATTTAGTTGTTAGCTATCCACCGAATGCCACGAAAACTGATCACAATGAAGGAGCAAGATGGTTGTGCAAAGCATTTGAAAAACGTTATGGTGATAACTATAGGGTAGGTTCATTCTATCAGGAATTATTTTCGCATATATATACGTCTGTAAGTGTATTCAACCTCTCAAGTTTTGTGCAACACATAAAGGTGTATAACAAACAAATAGTCTGTTACATGAAGAATTTTTATCAGTATCATTTATTATTACAACGCACCATTTGATACTTTGCTCTCTCTTTCCTTTTATAAATCAATAAATCCGGAGAACAAATGTGAACTGTTGTTATTATAATATATGTAACTAAATTTTGATGAATTCAAAATATTTGACTACAGTATAAACGTAAATGTCCGCTATTTAGGTGAATTGATAGGTTGTGACAGACAAAACTGATAAATATCGTTACAATTCTATGCTACTGAATTAAAAGATAAGTAGTTCATGACGTAACATAACAATTTTACCAAACAGTATTGCAATGACCGATAATTTCAAAATAATGATTTCGTAAATAAAATGACGAGACAGACCAAAGTATTAGTGACCAAAAAATGCAATCATAAAAACCTGACTGGAATTGTCAACCCAATACTGTCCGTTTCGTCACATTTAGGATCCGTCAACTGGATCTACATGCATTCTAGTGAATGATTGTGTTATGACCGTACCTTAAAGTCAACAGAGGTTGCTTCAAATGCTGAAATGTTTTGCGTTTAACTCTTAACGTTGTGATTATCACCACTCAGTCGGATGCAGGTGCATTCAGCTGATAATTATCACATGGAACGAAACTTTCGTCTTGGACTCTACTGGTAAACAATATCAATCTAATGACATCAGTTTTAAGGTATTGGTTAGCATGAATTTGATTGGTTTCAAGTTTTATCACTGACTATCATCAGTCAGAGGACATTAGACATTGTATGGCGTTGAAGTTACATAACGAGAATTGGCGGAATATAGAGTTTCTGGGCCATTGGATTTCATCCAATTGTAAACTGAAAGCCCTAGATTCTATCTCAAGTGGAGTCACGAGTTCCAAATAAGGGAAATGCAGGTATAAATGGTTCCTTGGTTTCTGGGGTTATCTAACTGAAGTTCATCTTTGATCACTCTTAAGGTATTTTCGAACAGTTCTTACTAGGAGATAGCATATCAACACGGACCGAATAACAAACTCCAGTAATATCAATGAACGGAAGACTGCAAATCATTTCATTTTTTCGTTTTTATCCCTCCTGGAACATAGGACTTCAAGTTTTAGCTTTATAGTTTCAATAATGGCGGCGATATTGTTCTTGGGCCTTACCGGGCTTATTGTCAGCCAAGCAAGGTTCTGGACTGCATCGGCGAGGAATTGAAGTCAAATCACGTGTATGGTTGGAGAGTATTACAGTGCAGAAACCAACTAAACGTTACCTGTTTTACTAATCAGTAGGAATCCCGGAGTGAAGCTGGCAATTTCACATAGTGGAAACTACCCTACCATTACTGAAACTTTAGAAGCTTGAAGCCATAAGTTCACCTCGGTACTCAAATGAATGCTCGAGAAATTTAAAAAATAAATCTAATCATCGAGTTAGCTTCCATTTTCTTTTGTGTTACTTTTACAGATATTCAACTTGTCGGGTTTCACGAAAGAGCTGCACTTTTCTAGTAGAGTAAGATGAATCCTTTTCATGTTGATTTTTGAAATTGTATTTTATTGTTTTCTTCATTGTGTAAATTAATGCTGCATCCAGTGAGAGCTGAAATTATCCCAAACAAAAATGTGATCAACTTTCAAGTTTCGGTTTGTAGGGTTTTTTGTTTGATTGGTTAGAGGATTTTATCATGAGCTGACATCAGTCAGAGAACCAGTAGAAAACCTAGGAGTGCTGAACAACCAGCTGTTTCGTCAGCCTAGTTTGGGACTTTTCATGCGTGCGCACCACCAGGGTTCGGACTTAAGACCTTCTGGTTACTAGGCTAGTGAGCTCGTAGATCACTGAACCACTGGGACCTGATTCTATGGCCAGCCCATGAATTCCAACTTCTGCCAATTCATGTCACAGCGCGACCATTTCGCAATGTTTTCTTCGATAAGTTACTGCCTCATCTTCAACCTGGTGTACCCTACTGGTCACGGTTTTTCACTGGAATCCCAGGCTAACTGCCTGAATAGTACCAGTCGCTATTGAGCATCAGATTAATTTTCAAGAGGACATTGCTAGGTGGTAGCGCTGTGTTGCCAATTGGCAGAAGTAAAAATTCATGGGCAATTAGATCCTGTCCCAGTGGCTCAGTGGTCTGCGAACTCACTAGCCTTGTAAATGGGAGGTCCTGAGTTCGGAAACCGGTGAGTGCGTACTGATGAAGAGTCCCAAACTAGGCTGACGAAACAGCTGGCTGTTCAATATTCTCAGGGGGTTTTCCAGTGGTTCCCTAACCGTTGTCAGCTCGTAATGAAATCCTCAAGCCGATAAAAATGTGATCAGTATAGATAATTTTTCCATCACCCCTTTTTTTATAACCAGAATGTATTTACACATTCAAAAGCTCAAGTCAAAAAATAACGATCCACGAATGACAACGCGCCAATGACTTTGAACGCACATTATTCATCTGATAATAGGATATACCATTATTTTAGAGTCACAGTAATAATATCAATTTCATTCTAAATATAGCATCTGTAGTCCAGCGGTAGAATGCTCGTCAATCACACGTGTGTCTCTCGTGGTTCGATCCTCGGTCGATGCACTTCTGTACCTCACTAAGCCGGTAGTAAGGCCGGTAAATAGGAAAGGTTAGGCATGAAGGTAGCAACTTCACCTCGTAAATATTAAAAGCACTGTTACCGAAACTTCAAAGCTAATGCTTGAAGCCCTGTGTTCCACCCGGAACTTAAAGGAATAAAATAGTATTTAAAAGTAATTTATTCTGGATAGTGCTCACAAATTTAAGCGCGAATTTTATCCCAATCTCTTTTCTAAGTACTATTTCGATAATGGGTTGATAGGTCATTAGGGTCACTCTTTTGGTAGGGTTAGGATTATGGTTAGGATCAGTCTTAGGGTACGTTATTTTTATTACCTGTATTTTTCTAGTAAATGAATGGCATTCTTATGTAAATACCCCCTGGTTATTCTGATTGACCGCCTTAAGACTAGTTGTGAGTTGGTATTCCTTGGACTGCTATTTTTTAACTTTACCATGTTAATGTTCTATCATCAATGGGAATTTAGGAAAAATTAGCTCATATGACTTCAGCTGAGTGTGGCGTCTCGTTAACAAAGACTTAAAATAACTGTAGCTAAACCTTCCCCTTTAATACATTAAATTACTCTCCATGATAAATTTCGTCAAGAACTGACGTCATTTAAAAAATAATTGAAAATTAGGAAACACTAGACATATGCTTCGTCCAAATTTCAAACGTTTTAACAGTGTGCCGGAGCGATCCTTCACGTGATCATCTTCCCGTTCGGCTACTAAGTAGAAGCATGATGGAAAATGAATGCTAAAATCTGTCAAAGTAAAACGAAACAGCTGTCGAGTGCTTTTTTATTTCAGATGGTTCTGTCATTTCGTGCTGATATCTAGATGAAAAAAGGTACGTCAGAGGCAATTTGAAAGAAACCTCAAAAAATATTGGAATCCGTACCACGTTCAACTCAACGAATCTAATTAGAAATCAAATAAATCAATTAGAAAATCCAATAAAAATGCTGAACAAAGGCAGCAATATAATTTACATAATATTCTGTGCCGAATACCCGACTAAATATGTTATTCAAATGTCCAGATCACTCAGAATAGGAGTGAATAAACATAAACGCCTAAAATTAAAATTTATTTTGTAAATGATGTAACGACTGCGAAAAACACTACATTGGACAAAGTGGACGTCCCTTTCGTCTTTCCTTATCTATGATCTCAAACTAGCCGTCAAAAGACATGTCATACACTACCTCGTATCACTCACTGCACAGAGAAAACCATGGACGTCAATTCGATTAGGACGACCAGCATTCAAATATTAGACAGAGGAAACGCCAAGAATGCTACAGAATTGTTTGAAGCCTGCCCAGTATTCCAGTGAATCATCAATCAATAGACACATCAAGATAGACAAAATTTACCAATCGATAAGAAGGAAATCTCACACACAAAGGATCAAAGTTCAAGTCAAGGAAACAATCAACACCAATACCAATACAAGTAGCCTAGGATGTATGAAAATGCACACAAATAACCAACCACGTTCAATGTGGTCACCAGTAGAGCTTACTTCATCGAAATGAAGTGTATGCGCTGAAGATGTTACCTAGTAGGGCGATGAGAGCTTCGCAAATTAACTAACCAGCTCACAGAACATAACAACATCAAAATTAGACATTTTTATCCACACAGTTCATTTGTCTCTTATTTCAGAATAAGGTGATACATAAACACAACTAGTAATCCTCTCATATGTGAGCTTTATTCAGGGATTCAATCTAACGATAGAATCACTGAAATTATTCTTATCTGACTTAATGTTGTTTGGTAATCTGATATAATTTCATCGCTTCTTTTTTTCAGACTCCTGTTATTGATCTGTTCTGGGGTGGATCACTTGCACCTGCATTAGAACAACTTGTAACAGCTATTGATCAGTTGGATTTTTGGTTGCATAATCATGATGTTGGCGGGTCAACAACAACAACAAGTGATGGAAAGCGGACAAAAGAAGCCTCAACTGTAAATAATCGTGTAGCTGTGCTACACTGTACAGGACCTAAAAGTCTATTGGCCACCTATTTAGCTGTATATATATGCCAGTCGAAGGCTAGATTTGGTCCGTTATGTGGACAAAGACCAGGTTCACCAACAGCACGTGGTCTACAATGGAATGAAAATAGATTTCGAAGGTATGTACTTCTGTGTGATAGAGTACGATAGAGTATCTGACCTTTGGTGTGATTACAGAAGCTCCATTATGGGTAAAGTTTATTTTGATAGAGTCTCACGGTGTTATACAGTAATATTTACTGATGACGTTTCGAGCAAAATTTATTGCTCATAATCATATCAAGGTAATCACACGACTTCCTAAATTCATTTATATAGTTCCATTGTTTTTCACTGGATTTTCACTTGATTTCATTAGTAGTAGTATTTTCTATATTTTGGGTATAAGTGATGATTCATTCCTATTGCATGTGTGGGGTGTAGACTCGATGAACCAGACAGGATTCAGTAATCAACCTCTCTCTCCACCTACCTAGATTACTTTTTAAAATTTTAACCCTCTCCCACCCTATTGTGTGATTGTGTGTTAATGCATGCATTGCAATTGCTGAGCTTTTTTCTAAATTACCTTAGCTGAATTTTTATTTTCGGACAATCTGACTAGTCCCGACCTACTAGTTTGACCTACGTAGTTGACTTAACTCACAGTTATTGCAAGGCATTTTGTAAATTATATTATTTTGTCTAATTGGGTCAACCTACAGGGTCCTTTAACCTACAGAGCTTGTCCCTGAGTGAGTTTGTAGGTTTGAATGCCACCCTAATTCCTGCTTTATTTAGAATCCTACGTAGGGTCTCAGATGTCCCCTCTTTAAATGGTATAACAGTAGATGACATATTCCCTCTTATTTTTGCTATCATTACTAGTTTCACAATTATTCTTATTTTGGCCTTTTTCAATCTTCTTAATGAATTTTAAAGGATAGTTATTTAACACCAACGCCTCTTCTATCTGTTTTATTTCATCATTTAGGTCTTTTTTGTGCTACTTAGTGCCATTGCTCGGTTTGTTAAACACTTAACTAAGCCTGCCTTAACAGTTAAAGGATGAGATGAATTAAAGTCTAAATATCTATTAGAATGCATTGGTTTTCTATGAACACTAGTGTGTAGTTTGCCTTCTTCTATTCGTTTTATTTTATAATCTAACATAGATAATTCTCTTTGCTCATTTTCGGCTTCAAATGTGAATTTTGTTCCCTCAACTAGTGAGTTTATGTGTGTTAAGAAGCTAGAGAGATGTTCTGTTTTAGCACTGTGAAAGTGGTGATATGATTATGAGCAATAAATTGTGCTCGAAAAGTTGTCATCAGCAAACAATACTGTAGAACACTGTGAGACTTTATCAAAACAAAATATACCCATAATGGAATTACACTCTACCACAGTGCACAAGTTTTATTCTTATATCAATGATTAGAGAAGCGATTGGAAAGGTGTCTAGAATAAATAAAGCAGTAGTTATCGTGTTTTTCATAAGTTTTTAACGTCTTAAAAAGAATAACGTAAACAAAATAGAAGAAAATTTTCTCCTCGACGATTCATATTTAGAAATTAAAAGTCAGTCTGAAAGAAGAATATTCTTTTAAAAAGAATGGACACGGAACAAAGAATACTGTTTTCGATAAATTCATCATCAGGCTCTACAATTATATATACATTATAGTGAATGAATGAATGAATTAGTGTTATGAACAGCATTAATGTTGTTTAAATGACATCAAATCAACAATATTGATAAATTACAGCTGAATAGCATCAACATAACAATAAGCTGAATGTCAGAAGAATTAGGAAAGATAATAGTACAAATTCATGAGTTTATAGTTTCTGCTGAGGGCCACGGCAGTAGTAGGGGCTGAACTTGTTTCTTTTGAACACAGAACACTGGTTGTTTGAGGCAAATTGCAATAGCCTCTGCTGTTTGGAGCATGCGGTGCTTCGACGATTTTGGTAATTTGTTAGGCACCCGGTATATTATAGAGAAGGATTCTTCCACGCTGGCTGGCTTTGTGACCGGTTTGCACCAGATGGTCTAATATCGAGCTGTTAATAGTTTTAACTACGCCTTTACTTAGCCATAGTGGGATATGTTCTCGAGCAAGCACGAAAAATCAAGTTCCTAGAGCAACGGCCAATATAACTCGCCCTGCCACAAGCGCAGTTGAATTGGTAGATACAATTTGAATTTCAGTAATTTCTCCTCTTCAGGTTCTGACAATCATAAAATATAATATTTGTTAGCGTTACAATAGTGGCCAGTTCTGTTATGCGACAGATACATTTTTAACGTAGAATAACAGATTAGTTATGGGGTGTCAAAATATATAGTCGTATTTGTGTGACAAACGTGCTAGGCTGAATTCGATTACAAAATATTGTAAAACGGGAGACAATGGTGATTAATCATAGTAGATGTGTAGAGTGTGGGGTAGGAAAATTGACAAGTCAGTTCAAGGTTATAAAAGGTGTCAGGTGAGTGGCTAGTACAAAGTGGTCTGTGTTAAACAGGAGATAGTAAGACTGCAATGGGAGGTTCATAATGAGATAACGAATGTGTGAAATGAAGAAACAGGTGGAGGCATATATTGAGAAAAGAGATAATATCACTAATAATAAGTCCGGATAGTATAAATGGAAAATTCGATAGTATTGAGAGAATGTTTGCATGAAGGGCACAAATTATGACGAATAATAATAATGGTAATAATAATAAGCAAAGGAAAAAAGCCAAGAGGGTTAAGGGGAGGGAGTACTCTTGGTGATAAGGAGAATCATCAATCCAAGTTTGGCAACGGTAGGAAGAAAGTCTGGACGTGTTCTCTTTGGATACAAAGTTCCAGTTTAGTCGATCTTATTGCAAGAGCTTCAGCTTTGTGTAGGAGACGTAAGCAAACTGTACGTGAAAACGACTTCGGAATTCGGTATACAACCCTGAAAGCTGTGTTGACATCGATGAGATGTCTAGTATCGACCAAGTGTGACAGGATCGAGCTTTTTATGCACCTAATTTCCCCCGCTGAATCAAGCTGATAAATGATCTCGAACCCGTAGACGAACCTGCCTAATCGTGCGCCCTACATAACTTTAACCCCAGGAACAAGTGAAATGGAATATACATAAAGAAGAGCTAAGGTTAGGTGATACATCTTTGAGTTGCTGGGTGAACATTGGACGGTTACTGAATGATCGATACATACGTGCAGAGTAGAAAGTTTTCTTGATCGCCCTTGTTAAACGTTGCGATAGAGTATCTACCTTGAATCGGAGACGTAAAAACAGAGGCTTTTTCTGCACCGTTGCCAGTTCATGTTTACGACTATTGAGAAATTATTGAAAAGAGTACTCTTCGTTCAGATTGACTTTTGAATTCATGATATGGGAATATTTCACACTAATAAATCATATTCATAAGCTCTACAATAATCGTAATTATTTTTTAACAAAGAAATCATAAGACCACCAATCACATACTGATAAAATTTGTCCTCGAAAATATGTATTACGTAATATAAGGTGTAGTCTAGACGGGGTGACTTAATAGAAATTAATACACACAATTAAAACGTAGAAATGGTTACAACACGTGGAGTGCATAATGCATAATTTTGGAAAAATGAAGAGTAATTAATGCATAAGCGTGTGCACAGGTTGATTACATAACAGATTGTTGAAGAAAATAAAACTTGTAACTAAGGCAGAGGTGGTCATAAGAATAAATTAATTTTACAAGGATTACATGTAAATAAAGATGAAGTAATCGGAAAAAAATTAATAAAATAATTTGGACAGTTATAATTTTTAAACGTTTAGAGTGAGGGCGGCGAAGTAGTCCGGTTTAAACATTCATGTAACGGTGGCCAAGGTAAGGAAAGTGGCTGTACAAATTTCTTCTGAACACACAGGTTTGGCTTGTTTTTCAGGTGGATTCCTATTGCTTTAGCTGAAGGTATGTAGGAGACGAACTCGTAGAGCAAAATTAAGATTAGTAGGAATGCGATGAATAATTTTAAATGCAGTATTAACATCAACCTTATGCTCACTGTCTACAAAAAGTGCTGCCATAGAGCTACGAATAGATCTTGTTTGTCCCTTGCTTAACCACTATGCAGGATGATGTTCGGAAATACGATGATGAACCTGCCTAATTGTACGCCTGAATTAGCTGGATCCGCAGCTGCTGTCAAACTGTTAGATACACATAGAGGAGGAGGCAAATTTAGGTAGTTTGCCCTTATTTCTCTAACGTAGAATAGGGGTGGTGTGAAGAGACAACGTACCTCCGCTGTATAATAAGCTCTTTTAACTGCATTCTTCAGGCACTAAATGTCTAAATGGGGATTTTTTTCTATATCAAATGGAAATTAGAAAAAGGGGCAATCAAATCCCTGCATACCAACATTTTAATATTGTTATTTAATACAATTTTGTTTTAAGGTTAAATACATACAAACACATGAACAATGTGACAACAAGGAACCTTCTGAAGAACAAATAAATCAGTTTAACATATCTTAACCATATAGGGCTAAATAACAAGAGTAAACATGTCCAATGTGAACTCGTAAGATAATTTGACCAATCATTACCAAGATTAATACTCAACTATGATTAGATTTTCCCGTCGATTGATTGGACCTAAGTGCTAGGTCTCAGATTGACATTGTCGGCTACTTGTGCAGATGCTTCGATGATATCTAGTCGTGTAACTTGAAGTTAGTTGGTTGATGGTGATTAGTAGTGGAATCCACTAGGACCCAAATTTCGTCCTATTTGGGACTCATCAACTGGATGTACCTGCATTACCCAGTGAATGATGGTGTTCCCATTATTGTCTCCTGTAGCATACAGAGATCATTCGGCTTCCTTAACCCGAATACACCGGCTTCAACAAAAACCAACAGCTTTTTTATTACCTTGCTTATTATTCATAACTATAAGGCTTTTAATCATTGTCACCATGTGATCACAGTCCAGTATATGTCGTATGATTGATCTCCTTGGAGGATGTCATCATCATGAGTACCAAAAAGCCATTTGGAACATTCGCTTCCACAAACACATGTAAACTTTGACAATACACATTTTGATATGGTGAGGATCGGTCGATATCTCATCTTTACCTGTTGCTTGCACAAACCCCATCATTATGTTTATGAGCAATGCGCCAGCTGCATAGATAAAAATATTTGTAGAGGAGTGTGCAGATGATGAGTCCCCCTGTCGAAACTGATGAGTTTAATAAATACTGCTCTTATATATTTTTTTATGTTTAAAACAAAGAAAACTGTCGTTTTTATGTTTATATTTTTTTGGTTAATTTTTCCTTTTTTTCTTTTCTGTTTTGTTTATATATTTACCGATACAGATTTAAAAATGAACTTGTTTTAGGCCATACTATACTGAAGAAATTCTATGAAGATAATTTAGCCAGGGAACTGAATCCATCACAGAAAAGGTTAGTGTTTGTGTTTATTCATGTTTGTGTGTGTGTTTGTATGCGTGTAAAATGACACCCCATTTCCAAATTTCACTAAGAACTGATATCAGTTAGATAAGTGTTGAAAACCAACAGGGAGTACTGGACATCTGTTTCGCTAGCATAGTTTGGGACTCTTCGGAATCATAAAGGAATAGATCTTTGGACCAACTGGTTAAAAGGCACTGGGAGCCGAGTCATTGGCCAGCCCATGAATTCTAACTGCTACCAGTTCGCGATTTTACTGAGATCACTGACCAACGTCATCGCTGGTGAGGATTTGTCCTCATCCCCGACTATGTGGACTACACTTGGCATAACTTCTCACTGAAACTTCAGGCATCTTCCTAAGGTAACCGGTCTATTCGGTCGGGAGTGACAGTGACTGGTGCTCCAATCACGCTAAAATCACGAACCAGTAGAAGCTAGAATTCATAGGCGGCTGAGTCAGTTGCCAGTGTCTGAATGGTCTAAGAGCTTGACTTGCTGGCGCTGGGTGTGTACTGCCGACGACTCCCAAACTAGGTTGACGAAACAGCCCTCCAGTAGTCTCTGGTTCTCCGTGTTTCTGTAACTGATGCTAGCTTATGATCAAAGTTGTAGCCAATCAAATCTCTGCGAACCGATATTTGAAAACTTTGGAGAGTATTTAAAACTAGGAAGGCTTTGATAGAGGCTTCCTTCCAGTTATGAGCTCTTCTGCTTCTTACACCCATGACCATACGTCGGATAGAATCTAACACCTTCAGGTCGGGAGTTGACTACCATACCATTCACCTGCCGGGTCATATGTAGCATAATATTTCATGAGGCTTCTAGCTTTTTTCGGTTCCTAACAAATATTTCCATCACGGATGACTGGCACAGCTGAATTTCGGTAGACCCAACTTGTACTTTCTCCAAAGTTTGAAGATATTAATAAAAGTCTCTTTTTGATTTCCACTTATTTGATTAAAAATCCACATAACACATTTCTTTCTCATGAACAAATTCTATTCGTTTATAAAAAGATTATAGAAAAGGCTTGGAAACATCGTATCCCTTTCGTTGACTACACCAATCGATACTAATGACAATAATAAATTGCGTGAAACACATTCAAGTTTTCCTGAAGTAGAAACCGAAAATAAAGAATTAATGAACCAACTGGAGTTTCAAATCCAGAACCCTCCAGTTACAAGGAAAACTCGTAGTTCATTCAGTCACTGCGAACTGTTCCAATGACCAGGCCATGAATTCCAACTTCTACCAGTGTGGTGTGTGCTACTAACAAGATTTATCAGTAGTACATAAATAAAGAGATGTTCATCGGTATAAAAAATAAAATAGCAAGCAGATGAATAGATTTGATGTCAGAGAAAGCAGATGATACAATGTTATGGATATATATGGGAGACGATGTGAAAGGAACACAAAGAAATAAAATATGAAAGCCAGAATGAGCAAAACATGGAAGATCTGTGCAAATGGTACGTTGAAGATAAGGAGTACATAATTTCACGGTTACAATTGGTGTATCTGACAATCGGTATCTCATAGCCGGCTGCTTTTGAGGTAGGAGACATACAGAACTTCTTGCGGGACTTTGAGGTGGTTGCTGAAGTGGTAGGCGGCAGTGACCCAACGGCGAAAGTAATGGTACTGGGGACATACGACATTGTGGAGCGGCCAGGTGAGAAGGCGACCTAGGAGGTATTGGTTGGGTTGATTGGTGACTGAGTTTTTAACTGCTCAGTGGACAGGCAGCTGGTGATGCAGCAGTTCTGTGCAGCAAAGCTGGGTCTGAACGGAGACCCGCTAGTGTCGGAAGTGAAGTTGATGAATCTACTAAGTCGTGCACTCCTCATGTTGGATGAAGAAATGGAGTCGCAGCTATTGAAGTCCCAGCTCATGGAGAGTGTCCCAAACCACGTTTCTCAGCAACTAAAACTGGTTAACTCTGTACTAGTTCACAGTTTTACTGTGACCAACAGCCAGTGTCATTGCTGGCAAGTATTTGTCCTCACTCCCAACTGGGTCAACCCCACTGCTCACGACTTATTACCAGAACTTTAGGCATCTTTGGCTAGTTTTGACATCCTCGTCTAAGCAGTTTGTATAGACTGAAACCCAAGTGTTATGGTCTAAACGAAAGAAACCAGTCTGACCGTTGCATTATATAGCTAGCTAGATCTACCTTGAGTTACGCGCAATGCAAAGATTCCCTAACAATAGTAAAAAGACAGTTATTTCCGATAAATCTGTGGTAATATCTAGCGGTCATAATGTAATAAAACACAAACTAACCTCAACAATACCGTTAGGAAGCTATACAGATCCAACAGTTTGTCGGGTACAAACACAAGTACCATACAACAGAATTACTAAACCCAAATCAACAGTATGAGTTAATTCAGAATCAAGTAGGATATTCCCAGCAAGGTGGGATCAAAACCCTGTCAACTCAAATCACGTACCAAAAACAACAGTCACAGACAATCCAAAGTCAGAATGAACTTGACTCAGTCAAACAAAATCGCAGTCGTAAAACAACACAATATCAACATCATTATACGACTACGGACAGAGTCACTAACATCAGAGACTGAGCAGGAACAAAGATAAGCAATAAAGATTAACTCATCTTGTGATATGCAAACGTCAGGACAATGATATACAGTCTAGGAGAAAATAGGATAATAATTATAAAGATTTTGGATCACCAGTGCTTCAGCTATTCCTAGATGTCTTGATTTCACTCCCTTTGGTTTTGAAGGACTTTTCAAATGAGGCTGAACGTCCAGAATTCACCAGATTTTTTGTTATCAAACTGTATACTCCTTTTCATTCTCTCTTTGCTAACCATGCTGGATAGTGTTCCCGTACGCGTTTTGCAAGCAGACGCATGGTACGACCAATGCGCTCAGCCCCACATGAGCAAGTGAACTTGTATATGCATGTTGAAGTGGCCCAATGTGACAGCTTGTCTTTCACTTGCTGAGTAAGTAGTTTCTTGTAGGAGGATGTTATTCGTAGACTGGCGGCGAAGTATTTTTTACTGAGAAACTTCAAAAGCCATCTACGGAGAATTTCTGCTTCGGTATCGCTTTTAAATTCAAGGTTCAATATCAACATGTTTTTGAGGGCAACTAGGACCTCTTCAGGTGTTTTCCTTGGTCATAGATTCTTGTCTATGAATTTAGGTGGGAATCCGTTTTCAATCAAGATCCCTCTAAGGTTTTGTAATTCTTCCTCGTTTGACTCTTCAGTGCAAATCTTCCGGATCCTCAAAGAAAGAGAGTATATTAGGTTTCTCTTTCTGCTTAGAGGCACACAGCTTTGAAGCTTAATAAACTGTCCGTTCCATGTTGCCTTTTCGTCGATGGGTCTTCTGCATTCCTTCGTTGTTGAACGTCAAGAAAATGACACATTGAGTTAGACTCAACTTCCAGGGTGAAGTCGATGTTTGGCTGGGCGTTACTGAAGATTTGAAGTAGGTTATCAGACCACAGTTCTCATCACAAATAATGTAAGTATCATCGATGTATCTCTTGTAGAGATGTAGGTCGTTGATTGTTGATCATTAGAAGTTGTTTTCTAGGCTAGCCTTAAAGCAGTCGGCAAGGAGGGGTCCTAGAGTTATTTGAAGCGTTCAAGGAAGGATTTCTCGAACAGTTATGATTTTTCCATTACAGACATCACTAAACAGATTCATAAAATACAACTACTGCTCATCACAAATGGGAAAATACCTCTATCGCACAAGCTTTTTGCGGGAATACGCATCTCATCAGCACTTGTTCTTAAAAAAGGAATATCTCCGCCATTCATGTGGTAGCTTGAAGTTGAATTCCCAGTCGAGAAGTTGGCTTTGAGTCGGTGAATACTCACCGAATACACAAAGGACTCTTAACTCGAATCCTTGTCGAGGAACTCTTAAACCTTTCCTAGCTAACAGTAAACCCGGTGAAAAGCGTGGGAAGTCTGAACACTCAATGAGACCATCAGTCCCTTCCAGCAAAAAAACAAACTGAAATTTTGAAGGCTAAACCTGAGGCCTCATACTCCTCTACTCAGAATGCAAAAGGTATGTGAAAAAAGACAACAAATTCAGAATATAGCAAAAATATTCATTCAGACATCTATAAAATACAAAATAATCGAGCAAAGAATATTCTTTTCGATAAATCCCTCCTCCGGCTCTACAATTATACATTTGTTTATATACGTAAAATATTCCAGATTAGTAGTCAATAACAATATTAGTGTTTTTTTCAAAAAATATCGATTTGTAAAGTAAGATCACCATGGAATCACAGTTCATTAAAGATGCTTAAATTATAATAATGATAAAGATATAATAGCAAATAGAATATCAACTAAAATTAGGGAAATTCCACAAAAATTCCGGATTATTCAAACCTGGATAGCCAAGGTAATGATAATGTCTGAACTAACTTCTTTTGGACGCATAAATTAGGCTTGTTAATATGGATCCCAACAGCCAGCCTCAGCAATATTTAGAAGTCGAACTCTTAAAGCAAAATTGAGATTCGTAGGTATGCGGTAAATGACCCTGAATGCATGATTAACATCAATCTTGTGTTCTGTCTCCACAAGATGAATTGATAGAATAGCGCTGCGAATAGATTTTGTTTGTCCTTTGCTTAACCACTTTGCAGGGTGATGTTCGGAATTTTGACGAGAAACACGCCTAATTGTACGGCCTATGTAACTAACTGGCTCACTGCACAGGAGCAGTTTAATTGGCAGATACACATGGAAGAGGCGAAATTAGGCAGTTTGTCTTTTATTCCCGAAAGCAGAAGAGGAGTGGTTTTAAAGATACAGCGTAATTCAGAAGCAGCACTGAATGCTCTTCGCTTTACCGCATTTCTAAGGCACTGTGTTAGTATCTTACTGGTGTTGTCTCTTAGGAACTGCATCTGTAAGAATAAGGACTATTTTGGAACTGTTGGTAATTTGGGCTGCTTTGGTTT